AACTATGTTAGAATGTGTTGACTCGATGAGAGTGCACAGACGAGCAGACATGACGTCATCACGCCTTGCTAAAGAGTAGCCCCTTTTCGAGGCACATAGCGGGTATTTGGGAAGAGTATGTGAAAAATTCGAAGAATTTCTTCGAGAGTCTCACAGCACGATTAACGATAAAAAAATCACAAGTTTCAGGAATTTTCACATGATTTCCCTGATATTACCGTATGCCGGTAAGGACTCTCATCGCAGAACAGTTTTTCTCAGACATTCCTAGGTCAAGTCAGTTACAGAGTGATTGGACAATGAGATTTGAGTTCAGTAGAGTCCACAACCCTGCAGGTTCGCTTGAATAATCATATCGATAACAGAGTCGAGAATCATTTGCACTTGATTGGTGTCCGTGGCGCATGTTTGATGCATATAGATGGTTTTCTCAGGATTTGCGTTCAATCCCTCAAATTTCTCCTCGATAAACGCCGTTGCCTCTTCATACGTCTGGGCACCTGTAATTAATATGAGCATAAGGAAGTGTCTGTTTTCACGCCATATTTTTTGTTGCATCTGTCTAGTGAGGAAATTATAGAAGCAGAATTGAAAACGTGCTCTTTGAGCATGCAACAGCAGACGTATAACTATCTCAGTCATATAAAATCCTGCCCAAGTTCCCTTTCACCCGTGCGAAAAATAATGATAATGCCGTAGCACAAAACAATGCATGCTCGTAGGCAGGTGCGTGGTGGCACGCCAACAAACGTCATCCCGTCTGGAGTTCTAAAAATGGCTCTTCCCCTCCCCCGTAGGGGCCTGAAGCACACAAGGTCGCCTCACAGAGTCTGCCAGCTTTCTTATCGACGGGTATGGAACAGGACGTGAATATCGCTGGGCAACCCGGAAGACAGACGAAGGCACTTCTCATTTGTCCTGTCGTGAACGGAGGGAGTGCAGGGAAATGCATGACAGCCACGGCATTGAAAAGTTTGGGGAACACATGACAAAGCCAGAGATGGGCTGTCAAGTGGTGGGACTGCAGGATGGGGTACTGCTGGGTTGTGCGCAAGAACTTGAAATGCTCAACGTCACAGTGCGAACGAGTCAGGACATCTGAGGCGCGGCATCACTGACATTAACAGCTCCTGGTCATAGAAGGGCCTGGGTCAGGACAAGCCCAAGTCACCGACGAACCGAACCGGGTAATGGGGAAAATTTTCGCAGAAAAACAAAATTCCTCGCCCCTTCAAAAGTCCTTCCTTCGGTACGACCCATCTCCCCGTCCCATAGATCCCACCTATTTGTCCCAAACCTCCTACGACCTTTCCGTATTTTTTTCCAGAAACCCCTCCACATTTCCCTCAAAAAACCGTATTGAGCTGGCGGGGTGAAGGGGTGTAGAGCGCAAGTGAAACGGGAAAAACAGATAAATCAGCAACCGAAAACTCGGGAACATGACTGAAAACTTTCCTCGCGCAAGTAAAACCCCTCCATCCTTTGACCGAATACGACAAACACGACACCCTGTCCTCCCTCTGAGGTCCCCAGCACATGACGTGTCCTGTTCCCTGTCGCTTGCAGCCTCTGTCGTCCAGCCCTCCGCGACTCGGAACTAACATTACACATGACCAAGGGGATTTGCGTACCTCTAGATTCCCGGCTTCATTCTGAAGCTTTCTGTTCCTAATGCAGTGCCTGTTGCGGTATACCACAGCCTAATAGGCGTGCTCTAAATTTGGGTAATTAAACAGGACACTTTCGGGTTACCGCGCACCCGAGTATGAGTATTACCATGATCGACGCATCAAATTTCAGTCACAATCCTGTGACACTGTCTATAGCGAAGGTGGAGAAGCATTTCGCAGTATACACAAACCTCTTCCTCATCCCCATTTTTGCCCACCATTTCCCGTATTTCCCATGTTGCGACCCAACCCCTACAAGTTCCTCGGGACTTCGGGGAATTCTCCACTTTTTCCTTGAAAAAACTACCTCCGCAGGGGGAGGGGTGGGGCATAGAGCATAAGAGCCAAAAAAAACGAGAAAAGTCGACCGCCAATGAAAATGTTTGTCTGAAAGAGAAAAATGAAAAAAATGTCAAAAATGACCCCCGCCTCCTTGCTTTCTGCTCGAAATCCCACGCATGACGTGCCCTGGCTCTATATTCCCAGTTATCCTAAACCTATAATCCTGTGAATCATAGGGTGAGAGTGCTCGTGCACTACTGACGTATCAAAAATCATACCCAAGGCATCAACCTTCTTTGAAAATGAAATGTGGCTCAAATGTATCTACCTTTGTAGTCGGGAAAGGCGATGGTGATGTTTGACCGCTTGATTTTTTCCGCGAAAAGATCCTTCTTGTTGAGGAAAAGAATCATTGAGGTGTTGATGAACCACCGACTATTACAAATCGATTCGAATAATCGCATCGATTCCACCATCCGATTCTGAAAACGATGCAGTAGAATAGTTAATCCCTAACATAACTGAAAGGAAGTTGACAATAGGCGCTAATTTTGATCGTTTCCTTCAACAGCAATTATTATGAGAATCATAGATTACGACCTATTGTTTTCAGTGACGCAAAGCATCTGCCCTAGCATCGATCATACGGAAACTTGCCTGAGAGGCTCGTTGAGTGGCAACCAGCCAGCTAAGCAGCGTTCTACTTTGGGGTACCAGGAAATCAATCGCCACACCCACATTTTGAAGCAGTGGACACGGTTCCTGAGGGCGGGCGGTTACTCCCACATCACTTGTGGAAGGGCTGCTAGAAGGCGTTTGGCCACGCATCACTCCGCCCATCTACCAATGACGTTGCCGGCAACTGCCCTCCTTTAGCCTTCGTGCCCACTGCTTTTGACCTGTGTTTCAGGTTGTGTTCCCCCTTTGAAAGACAGTAGGGTGTTCATTTTAGATCATCACATAGAATAGATACTTGGATGTCCTATCAAACCAGGAAAAATTTCCAGGAAAAGGAGTTGAAATAGGACCCCACTGGGAGGCTGGGGGCGACAAGGGAGGTGAGTCCTCGCGCGAGCAGCCAGCTTTTCCTGTCCAACTGTAGAAGCTTGGAGCGCCTCCCCAGCATTCGCCAGCGCGAGCGGCCGACGAATAATCAGCATTCAGATCCGGAGCGCACAATTCCGAAGCACTTGAACCGCCACTACATATTGCGAATTAGAATAGCGCCCCAGCTTTCAGAGCATTCAATGAGCACATTTTCAGTGTGGTTTTATTTCGGCTGTAACTGAGCTTTAAATTCTCTTTTTTTCCTGGGTGTTAGGCCGCCCATAACTCGCTCACAGTGCTTGCCTGTATTTAATTGCATCAATCGTGCTGCCTTATCTGCGCATGGATGGGACATGCTGCCAGAGTCATTCAACGTAAGGACGCTGAGCAGCGGTTGCCAAGGTTGCAATAGAGCCATTATGACAGAGAAGCACAAGAATCGGCCGATGCGAAGAGCGACGTCGCAGTTCTGCTCAGTCCTACATCACACGCCAGTGATCAGAGGAAATTCCGGAGCTGCACATTCCGTCCGCGACCGACGACACGATCAGGGACACGGCTCCTTTACCACCTGGCTTCTTCTGGTGGGATTGGGCATTCTCTGTTAGGGGAGCGTTGCCGTGAACGCCGGGTCACCGATGCCGATTCGATTCCGAAAGGAATTCAAAGAACACAGCGTGGCTTGACCACCTCCGCAATGTCGGGTGTTCATGAAAGCTCGAACGCATAGAAAGATGTCTATGTGTCCCTCAAAGACAGAGAATCCACTGGGAATCCTAGCCGCGGTACTGGGACCAATGGAGATGTTACTGGAGCTCGCTCCGTTATCTTGATAACCATGGAGCACAGGCGATACAGGTGATGTTGTGTCCCCCGCGTGAAGCTTTGAAGCCGGAAAGCTGTCTCTCTGTGATTATTCCCTTACAAAAAGGTGGAGAGGAAGTACAAATAGTACTGTAGTCATTAGTATACGAACAAAAACAGTCATTCTCGTCACAAGAGTACTTAGTATGGCTTTGAAACGATCAAAGTACGGACAAACGCGGACACCACTAATCAATTCCCTTCCTGGATGATTCACGTCCTTTGCTTCATGTATCACATGCAGGATCACAGCTGCAGTTTAAATGAGTATAGTGCTGTGCAGTTCTCATGGAGGTTACAAATTAGTATTTTGGTCGTCCATATACAGCAGTCATCAGCTGAATAGCTGTCCGCACGGGATAGGATGACTGTGAAAAATCGCGTGCAGTCATCAGCCGAATAGCTGTCCTCAAGCACGACTGTTGAAAATCGGGTCGAGGGTCAGCGGGTCGGTGGAGTAGGGTCGAGGGTAGCGACTCGACATTGGCGCTGGGTTATGTCTACTGGCCTGACATTACGTGTCTGCCTCAGATCAACTTGGCCTTAGAAGCATTGATTCTCCTTGGTGTGGGTGGAGCAGGGTGCAGCACAGCACACTTCAGTCGCGACGAAGGTAGGCAAAGGAGTCATTCGATGTTATCCGCACCAGGACGAAAGTCCCCAAGCGTAAGAATACTGCACCGCGTCGAGTTTGCTGGCTAGAAATTACTTGGCTAGCGCGCGCGATCTCGCGCCTAGAGCATCATGAACTGCATCCAGAGAAGTACACTCCTTATCCCTAAGATGGAGTAGGCGTGGCATTCGAGCATGACAGGGGGTGGGTTACTTTTGAGGTGTTACAGTTTGAGGTCACCTTGTTCTGTATTGGGCAAAGTCATGATTATAACTGTCTCAATATGAAAATATCTCACGGAAAGCTCAGCCGCCGTCACGTTCAGTCCAAGTACGCAGCCACGCCTACCGCATCTCAGGGATTAGAGTGTAACACTGTCTAAGTCACCTCGCCTCATTGTGTTCCAAGTCCCATGGGAATTGATGTGACGACCAAGAGAAGAGCCGTCACCAGTATTAGTAGTACCAGACTCAGGACAGTCCTGGCGATGGGGAGAAATTTCTTTAATGTACGACCCTTCAGGCTTCCTGCTCTGGTACAACCCCTTACACATCCGACCGATTATCTTACCAAACGTTCCTAAAAATCCATCCAGCGGAAGGGGGGGGGGAATGTGTGAGAGTAGGGGAGACACCTCTGATATCAGCTATCAGAAACGGAGAAGGAATAGCTAGTCGAAATCGCCGACTAAAGGCGGATACATTGCACATGAAATGGAACAAATATACAATCGGAAAAAATTCCCAAGCCCAATACGACCTCGTCTTCCCCCTTTCCCCTCCCCAATGACCGAAAACTATCCCTGCTGTGCTGGGGATCCCCCATACCCGTGCCTCGAGTGGAGGGTCACCGTGGAACTACTGTAAAGTTATCTGAAATCGTTCAAAATGTAATTCTAGTCCATCTGTTTTTTTAGTGGCTCACTTTCCGCTAGGGGCGACGACTCGAAGAGGATCGGTTTGAAATCTGACCTAGCGCTTAGTAATCCGCTCTACTTGCCCCCGCTGTGGGCTTCAAGAAGGACTTGGTCCCTAAATAATCGGCAATCGGACGATTGGCAATAGTCCCGTCTTTGGTCTGCGCTAATTTTATTCTTTCGATCTTCGTCCTAGAAAACGGTCCAGCTATCAACAGGCTATGATGATATGTGTCGCGGATAAACGGTAAGATTTTTTCAAACGACAAAGTCAGGTATAAGCATTTTAAAGCTTTGGATGTCTCTCTAAGATTGCTTCGCCCCTCCTTAACCGCCCCGAATAAAACTCATTCTTAAGGATAATAACAACATAATTCAGTCTGAAACTAACCGTCGTCTCATCCTCGAAAAGCACTTGATCGTATTCTGAGATAGCAGCAATGAATATGATAGCATTGACGTCTTCAAAACAGTGAATCCATTTCTTTCGCTCTGACCGCTGACCACCAACGTCGAAAACCCTGCAATTCAGCAATGAAGTGATAATCCTTTCGAGAAATGGAACAATTCTGCCCTTTTTGGGTAACAACCGTGGCTAATTCATGCTGTCCAGGCTAGTCGTATGGTTATGCCTTACTACCGCAAAGATCACAAAGGTGTCCTTTCTAATGTAAAGAGTAGGAAGGAAATAGAAATGAGTCATGGGATTTATCAAAGAGAATTAACGAATTGAAGAATCTAAGCAGATGGTCCCTTTGGCCCCTTTGTCGGTCATTATCTGCAGATATTCTTAAGGGAATTGCGACCAATGCACATCGTAGGATGGGGACGCCCACCGAGGTTGCATTTGCTAGCAGGATTGAGGAGGATCGCATTTTTTGAGAAAAACCCTTTTCAGTTAGCAACTTTCCTTGGTTTTGGCTTTTTTGGTTCCTGCTTCAAGTGCGCTACCCCTACCCCACCCCCTTTCATCGGCAGTACAGCTGAGGAAGATGGAATGAGAAGGGGGTGTGTCAAAGAAGGATGTTCTGAGGAAAGGTAATGTTTTGCAATAATCTTCCCCAGCGGCTGGACTGCCCTACTGTCAAGCAAGTTCTGGAGGCTGTCGACCAGGATTGTATCTACAGTAAGATTGTATAGCTACTGATTGAGGAGCTGACTCGCTTGCTTGAAGTATTTATATAAAAATGATTAAAATGTTTAGACGCTGCTCAAGACATTTTCTGTACGGCGCACATAACGAAATTTCGTCCCAGAATTCAGAAAAAACGTTGGTGGGGGCCATGATGAGGGCCCTACCCTCAGGCACGTGCCGTCACTGGGCAAAAGTTTCGCAAAATACGACCCCTCCCTCTCCAAATTCCTCTTCTGGCACGGCCCGCTTCCCATCCTATCTACCTACCATCGTACTTCTTGACGGCGCCGCCGGCTGTGTAAGGGGGGGAGGGGGTAAGATCCCTATGAGTGGTGCCCTCCCGACGTTGACGGAACTTGTGCGTAAAGACAGGAAAAAAGCAAAATAAAAAAATTCTTAGGCGACGTACAACCTCCCTCCCCTCCAGCGAGCACTCACGACACACTGGGGATTCCCCTAGTGTACGACGTGCCCTGCCTACCATATACCTTCTGACAAAAACTTTCCCTGAGTTTGCTGGAGATTTATATGCTGTTTACAGTGTTGTATCATGACATCGTCACCGTCGTTGTTTTCTCAACAATAGCGGCATCAAAAACTGCAGCACAACGCTACTGAGCCCTTCGTCGGAAGTGAGCTAACACCTATTATTAGAGCTCTTCAGCGCGAGTAATCATAGAGTAATTTCCGACATGACGAAATCATCCACCTTGATTACAATCCCAAAGTTGCGTTTATCGATATCTGAGATTCTATTGTTTAGCAGAAAATGACCAGAACTTTGTAAAGTAATGGTAGGAGAAAGTATAATTAATATTCTGAATGCCTGCTTGATACCAAAGAAGTAAAGAGCTCTTCTCAAGAAACGGAAATTTTCGGGAGTAGGGCAGGTCCTGCTGTTGGGGCAAAATCTTGCAAAACTGCATTTTTTTTTTGCATTTTGCATTTTTTTCTACCTCTGCTACGTCCCCGCCCTCCAACGACGAAGTAGAACCTGCTTCGCTCAGGATCCGTAACGCGCGACGTGCCCTGATTGGAAGAAGCCTCCCCATCTACGTTTCCAAAGCTGGAAGAAAGCTTTTCTGGTGGTCAGCCCCTCTCTGATATGAGCCAGCCATACTGCATCCATCCCGTGTCGAAAACATATTTAATGCGATTTGACCTATACAAGGAATGGCGGGGCTAGCCGATGTAAAAGTATGAGCATGTTTATGTTTCCCGGTCCCAAGTAGCGAGCGCAAGGGGTGGGAAACAGCCACACGGGAAGGGGTTCGGAAAAATTTTCCTCAGTATGCACCTCCCCCCCCCCCTCCATCAACTCCTCGTGCCCACAACTTCGTCAACAGTGGTCTCCACCGATTTCGAAGAAGGTCAAAAGGCGCAGTGTTCACAATACTGCTGAAACTGAAACGGCAAGGAAAAAAAATCAAAGAAAAATAGGCAGTTACGATTTCTCCTACGACCAGATAGTCCCTGCATTGTGGAAGACCCAGGGAGCCTTTCTTCGATGGAGGGCCCGGTTGGCATGGGAGAAAACCAAGCGGGGCTGAACGCTTGGCAAGCGAGGCTCCCACTACACTACCTAACCCTCACATCTTTCTGAATGGTAGGAATCTCACTGCACTTTTCAGACATGGAAACAAGCAGTGACTGGTTTCGCAGGCTGTTGTGTAAGACCACTA